GACCCCTTCCTCTACCCCTAATACCCACCTGTGTGTGTTCTCTCTGCTGGTTCTTAATTAAAGGTCATTACCAATCATCTATCAGATCCCATGTCCTGTCACGTTTCCCTCCTGTGTGATTACCTGCTCCGCCCTAATGTGTTTCACCTGTGTCCCATTGTCTCCCCTGCTTTAGAGTATTTAGGTCCCTGTCTTCCCCTCATGTGTTGCTAGATCGCCTTTACCCCCTTGTGAGTGTTCCAGCATTTTCTCATGTGGTCCCCAGTTTCAAGTGACTGTTTGTACCAAATCTGAAAAAATTCCCTTAAGGCATTCTTCAGCTTTCACATTCACGAAAATGGGACAAGCAACCTGAAGATATTATAAATAAAGTTGACCAAGTGGATGTGGTAGAACGATTGGTCTACTGTCTGTGCGATCTCCTCTTCAGATGGCCTCTTTAAACTCTCTATCAGTGAAAAGAGTGGAAGTGTATGACAGCCGTCAGGTCTGATAATTACTGCTATGGCGCAGTTTTTGTTTTTGCTTGTTGGCTGAAGGGCCTGTCTGATAGTACAGACTCGTGGCTCTGTGCACACCAGGCATGTTACAAAGAGCATGTGTGACTTGGAATGGGACCAACCTGTTTGGTAATCCACTGGTAATCCTATTTGTCAAAACTTGTGTCAGACCTGACTTTTTTTCTACAGTAATAGTAAAGAGTTGGTTAAAAGGGACATGAATATACATTTCCAAACAGATCCTGTGTAAAATGTCTTTATAGTTTCAAAATAGCTGTGTAGTGTAACAGCAGGAGCTGCTGAACCACTTTGCTGATGTCATCCAGTAGTACCAGGATAGGGATAAGTGAAGAGGATTAGAGGAATCCTCAGAGACTGATAACCCCACCGTGAGTTCATCAGGACACTGCTGTTATATCCCATGTTCTGTTACCACAATCAGCCCTCTGAAGATTAGGCTAAATGTCCTGTCAAGTAAGATCCACCATCCAAATTAATTAACAGAGTCCAGAGGGTTTATTCAAATGTATATACAAGTAATAAATGTGTTTTGTTTGCAGTTTGTAGGATATTTGTTAGATTTTTAAGCACTGAAGTAATCACAAATTTGCTTCAGTAAAGAAAAATTAAATGAATATTCATGTGAATTTACAGGAATATCAAGCTGTTGTATAAAACAATAGGTGATCTAAAACAAAATAATTAATGAGCCGGTTACTTCATTCATGTGTTAAACAGTAAAATTAGGTGCTTTATGAAAAAAGAAAATATACTTGATAACTTTGATAAGACTTTGGCTAACTCTGATTCTGTAATGTCTGGTGCTGAGTCTAAGCATTAGCACCACATTAAATTACAACACTTAAAATATACATTTTAATAAGGTATCTAAAATGTTGTTATTGTACATATATGTTAAGGTGTATATTTGATATTCAACCAGTTCAGGTTGGCTGATATATCTTAACAGCAGCCATCTTGTGAGTGTTTCAAAGATTTATCAGTAATGTAACAGCATTAGCCATGATAGAATGGCTACAACATATACTTTACAGTATTATACAGTATGTACATCTCCCAATCTGCAGTACGGCTCAGTTTTTATTGTTTATTATATGAATAAAGAAAATGATATATTTAATTATTATTAAATTGAGTAAATCAGCAGAGAGGTTGTATTTTAAGAGGGGCTTGCTGCTATGAACAGAGGGAGGCATGAACAGGCCTGCATGTACAGAGGGTTTGTAGTATGTCTTAGTGCCAGGGATTTATTCTTGGTTGCCACAAGTACATATAGGCTTAAGCCATCCAAGCTTCTAATTAAAGACTTATCATGGCAAGTGTGAGTGCCAAATCTTGCATAGCTTCTACAACTGATTCCTGTTAGTTTTGCATTTCCATACATTTTTATTGGTTGGTTAACTGACATTAGATTTATTTCATATATGCACAGTCAGAAAATATTCTTGTATTATTTTTTGCATTTTGTATTTAATGTAGGCATTTTTAAAGGACCCATTTTGTATAAAGGTAGATTTCCATGTATTTTTTGATTATACAGCAGGTCTAGTCTCTATATTAAAGGTGTAATGTGTAAGATCGTACTACTTGCTCCACTTCCATAGGGGGCATCATTTCACCTCTTTGCCCCTGTCCAGTTAATGATATTGTTGTTTTCCCCATGTTTCTTATAATTTATTATTTATATGTGCATTTATTGTTGATAGTTAAAATTGCTGATAGCACTGAAACAAATTATGAGTGCTTGTAATACAAACAGTATGTTTTTATTTACCTATAAAAATATGAAGGCAAGGGGATACTGCAAGGCAAGGCAGAATCAGAAAATAAGTTTTATTGCCAGGTAGGCAACAGTCAAAAAGATATATATAGATACACAAAATATAACTATGAAAAAAACTATGTACAAAAGTGTTGACAAAACTCCTGCTGAGCAGGATGTGCAAAAGATCACAGTATAGACAATATCTGTTACTGTAATGTGGTTGTTGATGGTTGATGAGGCCAGACGCAGAAGAAAAGGCAGGTGCTGGTCCACACATAAAGACAAATATGTGATAGGACAATTTGTATAGGTTACACAAGTTGCGTGTGTATAATAGATAGTAAAGATAGATATGAATATGCTAAAATAAATACAGTTTTAGGCAGTGGATCCTGAACCCGCTGGTTCTGGATCAAATAGTCTCTTTGTCTTACTTGTAAAAGAAAAGTTCTGAGATCTGCTATATTTTTATTTGATCAGCCAATCAAAAGAGAGCTCCAGAGTTGGTTTTTGGTTCTTAAAACCACATATATATCTTCTTATGGATCAATCCTTCAAATGAAACACAGGAAAAGTGTAAAATATGGGAAGAATTTTAATGTTCACTGTCCCAACTCAAAATTCATTGTTAAAGCTCTCATACAGTGTACCAACCTTTACAAAATGTTATGTATGAGGCCTGTCCCTAATGTATTCAGGCTACAAGATTCTCATTACCTTAAGAAAAAATCTGTTAGTTGTATCTCCAGGTTCCTTCAGGTCAGTGTGTTACAGTTTGAGTGTGGTTGTTACTTATTACTTACGGACGTGTTTGTTGCTCCCAGCAGAGGGAGCAGAGCAGCTCAGATCCCAGCGGGACAGAGCAGGGAGAGAGCAGTGCCAAGACGTCTGAGGTGAGTTCCCTCTGAAACCCATAGATTCTTCTGTTATACAGTATGTGTGTGTGTCTTGCATTAGGCGTCATTTTTTAAACTGCGACTGTACATCACACCAAGTCACCCTTTGTATCTTTGTTACCAGCATCTATTTCACTCTGTGATCTAATATTTTGATTTCACCTCATCATTAGTAACATCAATGATAGAACACTTGTGTCTGAAGTCACTGTGAGCTTTTTCTGTATTGAACTTGATAAGGAACTTTCTCTAACCTGAACCAAGTGCTGTGAGAGTCTGAACAGAACCCCAAAACATGTTGATAATGCTAGAGTAATTACAAGTGGATATTGTGCTTCAAGATCAGATATTTTGGCAGAAAATAAATATGTTGTTCAGTATCAACGTATTCACAACTTTCCGAATATGTAAAGTCACAATGTATCGTTGTTACGGTTATAGAAAATGTAATCCGGTCACAATTAAGTTTCCAACAAAATGGATTTGCTGTTGCAGTTTAGCCATATAGAAACATCATTTATAAGAGACAGGGTCTTAGTGTAACATATCTTTTCCTAGCAAAATAACACATGGTTCCTCACAAAGCAGTTTTCAGATCCATAATCCCAACAACAATGAGCTCACTGAAGTAAATGAAATTAAAGACAGGAAGGGAGATGTATTTCAAGGGCATGGGATCTGAGCTTATGTCATATCAGTGATGTCTTGTAGACATCATTTATATTATGTAAAATATTCACCTTGTGTCTATAGCAGTGAGTTTCAGTGAATTTAATTTCAATATCTATGTATTCTGTTCATAACATGCATGACTTGGAGTTGCTGATTATATACTGTATATGAGGTCCACTCATACTAAATGTACCATGTATTGAGTTCTGGGTCAATATGTTCAAGTTCTTGGTGCTGTATGTTTTGGTTTCTCTTATGTTTCCTGTCACTGAGAGTAATATATCTGTAGTAACCCTGCAGGCCACTGACATTACACATTGATATTTGGTTGAATGTAGGTTGTGACGTTGGGTAACCAGGAAAATCTATCAGTTTAATGCCAACATCAATTTGATGTAGAATACTGACGACAACTGATGTCGATATTTTATTGGTTTTAGGTTGTTTAAGTGTTGTTAAGTAACCAAAATCCAACATCTTCCAAATTTTTGTAAAATACTGACTTTCCAGTCGTGAGGTCTGGTGACCAAAACCCAGTGTCTGCTACATGTCTGCTAAGCATCACTATGAGAATTAGCCAGTATTGGGTTTTGATATCAACCTGAATTTCATTTCCAGTCATAGTTTTTCAAACATGTTCCTGACATTACACTGACGCCCTGGGCATGCTGGGAAAGATGACTGAATCTTGGATTTTTAATTATCTAACTAAATAAAAAAACATAGTAGTATTTAAAGGGACCAGTGCAGACATTTTAACTCCCATGCATGCTTCCTGAAATGAATAAATGAATGTCATCAGTGACTGATATGCATGAAGCCCTTATGTAATTTCATTTAGTTTCACTGGAGTGAAATCTGAGAGCAGATCTGATGGTTTTCACCATGCTAGAAAATCACTTGAGAGAATGTCAGGTATTGGCCAGCCTCAAGGTCAAACCTTATAGCAGGCTTTGAAATAAATCCATCTAGCAGGCTGTTAGCGTACACAGACCAGTCCAAGTTTGTCACACCTAGTCTGTATATATGAGTGGCAGCCCTAACAAATGAGGTTAAAGCATTCCTTCTCTCTAATGCACTCGAAGCTGCCTGAGCCGCATCACCTGAAAAGATTAGCCCTGTTGCTCTGGCAGAGGAAGTCTGAACTGGTGAATGTGTTTAGTAAGAACAACAGGAGAGTTGGAGTCTAAGGGCATTGCTTTGTCCATAAATGAAAGCGATAATCAAGGTCAAACTCTGCAACACACCTCTTCACTGGGAAGGCTCCAGCAAACAGGTACTAGCACATTCAGATGGGGAACGTGTTGTTGTTCAGAGGCTTAGAGTCTCTTGAGGGGGAAGTTTGGACATTGGAGTGGGTAGTGTTACCTGGACTTAGGATCTGTCTGGCTGACGTGACTGAACTAGAGCTTTTCAAATGTATGTAGTGGTGTATTATCTTCCTCATTTACGTATTTTTTGCTTTTGTACCTCATCAGAATCAAGTAAAAATGGTTATTGAGACAGATACAAATTGGCAGATGAAGGGCCTGGCACACCCACACAGGTGTTTGCAGTTGCCCTTGCTGATTAGACCTTGACTAAGGTTAGATTTAATTGGAGCTCTGAGAAATAAACTCATGATGATGCTGAAAGTCCTCGTCCCTGGACTACTGTAACTTTAAGCTGCATTTGTTTTTGGAAACTTCTGTCATCAATCCCATGTGGTATTTTGCTGATTTGTTCCAGTGTCTGATAAAATAATTCTGGAGGAACGTATGCAGTATGTAAGTATGCAAGTCTTGTTGACTCTGAAGCCGTTCTGTCACTTTGCAAGGACAGTAGCAGACAAGTATCTGAAACTGTGGACAAAGTTTGCCAACAGTGTTTCAGTGCAGTTTTGAGTTAAATTGCACTTTGTTGCACTTCTGGCCAAAAATTCATTGTTATCAGAGCAAAAGTTTTTCATCAGTTTTCAAATTGTAACATTCCTGAAAGACCATCAAAAGATAATGTACCTTTATTCTTCTGGAAGCGCTGAATCAAATCTTAGCTTTGATGTCAGTTCATTGATACATACACACACAAACATAAACACACACAGAGAAGAACCTATTTCATTCTATCATTACTACTATCATCAGCAGTGCATTGCAGTTTTTGTGTACCTGTGAGTCATATTTGGTGCATCAACATAACAATAAGAGAGGTATGATGATGCAGCAGTGTTAAAAAGAGCCTGTTATTGTCGAATGTCTAGCAAATGTTGTCCAGCTTAGATGTGATGGAAATCTTTTGTTTTATCATCACTTTTGGTAGAATTCATTAGTGTTACTAGTTTGGTACTTGTGTATTGGAAAACCTTGAGCTGAATTGTTTTTCGTAATCGTTTTTTTTTTGGCACAAAACACTGGCTATTGTTGGCTTACATCCCAAACCCACCAACCTACAGCCTCATAAAACACACACACAGACTTGTTCCACTATAATAATGCATAGCCCTTTACCCTAACCTTAACCATCACAAATAAATACCCCAACCTTGACCTGAGCTTGAGTTAAGACTAATTCTAACCCTAACCCCCGATAAGAACAAGAACACACACACACACACACACACACACACACACACACACACACACACACACACACACATACACACTGTAAAAAGTGTGTCACAGAGTCAGAGGAAGGCAGTGTTGCCACTGCTCTGCAGATGGAATTAAAGCCAGTGTGTGATGATTAAATTTCAGCTGTCTGCCACAGCAACTAATAGCCAGTGAAACAGAGCATGGGAATGTAATTCAGTCCACTGAGCTGATGCTCTCGTCCTTCACTATCTTCCCTCGCTCGCTCTCTCATCCCATAACACTGCTGAGTCGCTCAAAGACAGGAGAGAGAGAAAGGAGGAGAGGAGAAGACGAAGACCTGAAAACAAGAGACACAGGATGAATGAGAGGGAGAGAAGCTAAGGAATGAGGAAGCTGTGCCAGCTGTGAAGCATTTTTAGTGCGTGTATTTGTGTGTGCGTGTTGGTTGATGACGTGCGCTTCGCCCTGAGATGGCATTATGAATCCTGATTGCCTTCACCTCCGTGGAGGAGGCATCCCAGTCCTCACAAGGGGGCCGCATGCTCTAACGTCTGTCCGCCGTGGCTTCTCTCCATCCAGAGCGTGTGTGAGTGTGTGGATGTGAGCGTGTGTGTGTGCGTGTGTTCTCTTGCTCTTCTCCTCCCCCTAGTCTTCTTCAGGAACTCCTACTACCTTTTTTCTATGTTACCTCCTTGCTTCTTCACATTGGGATCTTTTTCTCCATCTTCTTGCTTTTTTTCCCTGCAATGGTGATATTACTGGTAATGAATTTGAGCATTGGTTGAGAGCTTTTTTGCTTGGCCAGCATGGATTGTCTTTGCATTGTCACCACAAAGGTAAGAACCACAGAATGAATGATTGATTCACTAGACAAGACAGGGGATGAGAGGGAGACCTGAAATAAGACAGAGAGAATGAGCACTGTTGGAGGATTAGGTGTGCGGTGAAATAGGAGGAATGAGGCTCTGTCTGTGTGTTGCTTAATTCTGAATGTGTGCATGTTCACTCATGTTTTTATCTTCCGTCATCATCCTGATTCTCTTCATCAAATCGTCACTTCGAGCTTTGAAGTGAAGAGTTGAGTAAATGATTTTTCCCTGTTGTTATAAGATACTTTCAGCATATATTTACTATGGGTTATTATCCCCTTCCGAGGTGAGTTGTTATGTCTAGTCCAAGTTTGTGTGTGTATGTGTGTGACAGAATGGTTCACTTCTTCCCCTCTAACTACAGTATGTGTGTCAGTCAGCCACACTGGAGAGAGATCAGGTGCTTGTCTGTTGAGATATAGCAGCAGAAGTTGGATTGAACTTCTGTCTGCTGGCTTGTGGCTCTGCTGCAGCTCTCTGCTGCAGCCCCCTGTTCACACACTTGGAGACAACATGTTATTGCATTATTACAATTTATAAATCATATGGAAGCTGCAGAACTGAGGTATTTTATTTGAGAAAATGTAAGAAAGAGTTGCACTTTTATCACTCAATTCTTATCCCTTGGCTCGTACTGTGCGCTCCTCACAGTGTAAATGAACATTTCATCATTGGAGAGGGGGAATCCTCTACTCACAGCAATGCTTTACCCAAGGCAGGTCTGTTCTTGTACTAGGACACCATATCTTTAATTTCTCTTTATGAAAATAAGATGTTTAAATAGGTCGTCTTATATAATTATGGGTCTTTTCATTTACAGTTAGTACTGACTTTGTTGCATTTTATATATGGTAGTTAAGTAGTTTCCTATATCTGCTTTAGACTTTGTGTTGTTGTGTAGTACCTCAACTTTATTTTGAGCATTTTTCTAGTCATCTTTCTAGTTGCCTGTTCATACATGATGTATGTATTGCGTGGCATGATCTGAATTAGCAAATTGCCATGTCTACCAAAGTAGTTATGGTTTTGGTGCTATTTCTTCATTTCAGCTGGCTGTGACAACGTTTGTAGCCATGCAAGTGATGATGCAAGCTTTAGGGATGGTGGTGTTGGTTCAGATGGTCCCCTTCTTTGGCCCAGACTTAAATATCTCAATCTATCCATGGTGCTCAGTGGATAAATGGTAATAGCTTTCCATACAGGGCCATCATCAGTTCAAAATTTCCATTTCAATCAGGAGAGACTAATAAGAAGAACAAGAGAGTATGAGAATTAAAGTAAAATGAAATTTATTGTGAACAGAAGGAATAGATTTTGGCGCTTAGACCCCGGCAGGAAGTGGATCGCTATGAACAAGATCCATAGGTTTAAGGTCCTTTTAATAAGAGGAATCTTCCCCGAGTCTAGACACTGGGGGTGGTGATGAGGAATGGAGCTCGGGAATGGGAACGTCTTGATGAGGGAACTTCTGATTGGATGGTTTGATTTGAGATGGTCTGGCGTCCATGGTTGAGGTGGAGAATGGGTGGAGGTGGGTTGCATAGCACCGCTATTCGTTTGCATTGTCAGTGATGGCCCCAAACGTGGCAGGCGACTGCAATGGGATAGATCTCGTACAGTGCTGAGGAATAATGTGGCTGAAGAAACGAAATAGGACAGGTACTGGCAAAACACTGACCTTGAAAATACCCCCCAAAACCCACAGATGGAGCCGCATCTGTGAAAAAATGAATGGAATCGGAGGAGTGTACTACTTCATCATAGAAAAAGGAGATGCCATTCCACTGATCTAGCAACAGTGACCAGAATTTTAGATCGGAAAGGCATCCCTCATCCAGTGAGATTTTGAAGGACTGAGCTATTTGCCGGATTCTCTGCAGTTTCTCATCGGGAAGAGCTGCTTTCATGTCGATGGTGTCAAGCGTGATGCCTAGAAACTCAAGATTTGTTGCTGGACCGATTTGACAGAGGAATGCCGAGATGACTAAACAAGAGTTTTAGTTATGACAAGGAGGAACTGTAGCTATCATTTGGTAGGTCAATTAGCAGAAAATCGAGGAGATGAAGCACGGATGGCAGTCTAACGTTGTTAAGCAGGATCCAACAGAGCGCTTCTGACACAGAATAAAAAATGTATGGACTACTTCTACAACTGAAAGTTAGTCTAACGGCAAAATAAAACTTTGGAGTTCCACTTTACACTGAAGAGGTGCCACTGTGATGGATGTATGGGGATGATTTTGAAAGCATCTGTGATGTCTGCCTTGGATAGCCATGTGCCCTGACCTGCTAGTTTGAATAGTTTTATTGCATTATCCACTGTCATGTAATGAAGGTAGAATAGGACGGGAGGGATGAGACTGTTAATGCTGACGACGGGACCAGAACCTCCGAAGTATCTCTGTGTCCAGGATTGGCCAATTTAGTCGGATGTTGGACTGAGCTGCCTTGCTAGAAAAAGCTTTGTGGTACTGGTAGTAAATGTTTCTCCCATATCGGAGATTTACATCACCAATCAGAGCCAGATAGGCGTCTAGTTCGATCCTTCTATCGGGATAAACAGAGCAGATTATGTCTCTATATATCCCGAAGGCGACTACAAACTCTCCTATTGACAGGTCCCTGGCTAGGCGAGGGTCAGCAGATTTAATGATGGCTGTAAAATTTTTGCTGGTGGAAACTTTTCTATCGCACTCTGGAGAGGGGAGAATGAGACTGACCAGATTGATGTCTTTGCCTTGCAGAATTTTTTACCTTAACCAGGGTGAGATATTTGCAGCTTGAGGAATGTATGGCCTACCTAGCAGAGGCGCAGGGATGGCGGTGGCCAGACAGTG